CAGCCCCACGGTGGTGACATCCATCATCAGGGCACGCAGTCCCGTGGAAGGGACACCATGGTCCTCTCACTTCTCAGGGGACACAGCCCCGTGGACATGACACCCATCGTCAGGGCACACAGTCCCATGGAAGGGACACCATGATTCTCTCCCTCCGGAGGAGACACAGCCCCATAGTCATGGCACCTTCTGTGAAAGGTCACAATCCCATGGAAGGGACACCCTGATTCTCTCCCTTCTCAGGGAACACAGCCCCATGGTCATGGCACCCTCTGTGAAAGGTCACAGCCCCACAGTGGTGACACCCATCGTAAGGGGACACAGCCCCATGGAAGGGACCCCATGATCCCCTCCCTCCAGAGGGGACACAACTCGATGGAAGGCATCCCATGACCTCCTCTCTCCTGGGGGGCACAGACCCATGGAAGGGACCCCATGATCCCCTCCCTCTTGGAGGGACACACCCCGATGATCATGGCACCCTCTGTGAGGGGTTACAGCCCCACGGTGGCGACATCCACATTGAGGAGTCCCAACCCCATGGAAGAGACGCTATGTCCTTCCCCATGAGGGGACACAGCCACCATGGAAGGGACCCCATGATCCTCTCCCTCCTGAGGGGACACAGCCCCATGGTCATGACATCCATCATCAGGGTATACAGTCCCATGGAAGGGACACCATGATCCTCTCCCTCCTGAGGGGGACACGGCCCCATGGTGGTGACACCCACACTGAGGAGACACAACCCCATAGAAGGGACTGTGTCCTCCCCTGGGAGGGGGCACAGACTGTGCAGGGACCCCATGTCCTACCCTCACGAGGGGACACATCCACCATAGCACAGTCCCCATGTCCTCCCCCATGAAGGGCCACAGCCCCATGGTGGTGGCACATGCCATGAAGGGACACAGCCCAGTGGCAGGATTCTTTGTCCTCCACCATAAGAGGATACAGCCCTGTGGTCATGACACAGCCCTATGGAAAGGCCCCTGTGTCCTTGTCCCACGTGAGGGGACACAACCACCACGGCAGGGACACCACATCCTCCCCTGCAAGGATCACAGCCCCATGGCCATGACACTCACCATGAGGGGCACGCCCTACTGGCATGGACACCGTGTCCCACTCTGTGAGGGGACACAGTCCCATGGCAATGACACCCCCTGTGATGGAACACAGCCCCCCATGGTGGTGACAGCCACCATCAGAGGACACAGCCCCATGGCAGGGATCCCATGTCCTCCCCTGCAAGAGGGCACAGCCCCATGACACCCACCATGACTGACACAGCCCCATAACAGGGTCCTCATGTCCTCCCCCACGAGGGGACACGACCCCATGGCAGTGACACCATTGTGACCCCCCAGCAGGGACAAACCTGTGTCACTACCCCCAGCAGAGGCATCCCCTACCCCCTGAGGGATGACCCTCTGCTTCTCCTGCCCCATCCTGTCCCTCAGCCCTGTAAATGATGTCACCCCCACCTTAAAAATTGACTGTGCTCCCAAAGGAAGCTCCTGCTGACACCAAACCACCTTTGAGCTTGATCCTGAACCATCCCACCCGCTGCCGAGCTGCTCTGCATCCCCCCTGAGCTGCGTGACACAAGAGGCCTCTGCTCCCAAGGACACAGCCGAACTTCCCCTGGAAAACACCCATTATCCTGCAGAAACATCCTGGGATGTCAAGGTCTCCTCACCGTTCAACGCTGCCCCTCTCAGTGCAAATCCTTCCTTTGGAAGCAGCTGGTTGTTGTTGTCATTGTTAATTTGTGTTGTGAAAACGGGCACTGGAAGATCCTGTTCCCAATCATGTTATCAGGTGCAGCAGAGCTGTCCTTGCCCGGGAATCCCACGCTCTGCCAGGGACACAGTGGGATGAAGAGCAAAATCAAGCTCAGGCTGTGGATGCCACCGTGGGTTTCTGTGTTTGCTTTTGTTGTTTCTTCTTCTGAGATATAAATAATCTACTCGGATTGTAGGAGCAGACTTCGGGTCTCCCTCACCGCTGCTTGGGAAGGTTGAACGCTGCTGGTCTGAATAACATGGAATCATGGAATGGTTTGGGTTGGAAGGGACCTTAAAGATGATCTCGTTCCAACCCCCCTGACAAAGGCAGGGACACCTGTATTGTCACTTATTTAAATGAGAAAGGGATAAAATAACTGCCCGAAATGGGGCACCATTACTGGAAGAATGCAGGAGTGGCAAGGAGAGCTTGGTGAAAATTTAGAATCATTAAGAACTGTTAAGGTAGAAAAAGACCTTTCAGATCATCAAGTCCAACCATCCCCCAGCACTACCAGGGCCACCATGTCCCCATGTGCCACATCCACACGGCTTTGAAATCCCTCCAGGGATGGGGACTCCAAGACTGCTCTGGGCAGCTGTGCCAGGGCTGGACAACCCTTTACACGAAAAAAATTTCCCCAATATCCAAGCTAAACCTCTTCTGGTGCAATTTAAGGCTGTTCCCTCTCCTCCTGTCCCTTGTTCCCTGGGAGCAGAGCCTGATCTCCCCCCCCCGGCACCCCCCTCCTGTCAGGGAGTTGCAGAGCAGGGGAATCCCGACCCAGAGGATGGATTAGGAGTTGGATCACGGGGAAGCACAGCACAGCCTCCGCCGGCTGCTCTGCAGAGGCGTGAGCTGAGACATCCCTGGAGAAGGCTGGAGCTTCCAGCAATCCCTCATGGCAAAACAGGGGCAATCCCTCAAGCCATCACCCTGATGGCTGCTGAGGAGCAGATCATCGCTGATTTAAACTGCTCTGGAGTTCAGACCGCTGGGATGAGCTGCCTGTGGCTCTGGGAATGCTCAGTGTGTGATACAAACCCGGCTCCGGTGCGGAATCGGGGGATCCCACCATCCACCGCTGTTCCCAGCTAAGAGGATTATTGTTATCCTTCAAATTAGTGGGGCTGGTGCTGTGGGGGACTGAGCCAATATTCCTGAAGTCAGTGGTAACTATTGCTCTGTCTCAGCTGAGATTGTTAAACAGGATTAAACACCAGTGGTCCAAGAGTGAGTGGCTGGCAACGATCCTTAGTGGCTTTAATTACAGGCTGAGAAGTGCTATGGATGACACTGGTGCCAGAATCAATCCTGAGTGCTCCATCAAGGAGCACTGGGTTTTATTTACCGCAAATAAAGATCTCTGAAACAAGGTCTGGTTTCCTCTGGTGTGAAGATGCTGCTCAGTTCACTGGTTTATGGTACAAGGAGGTTGAGCACAGAAATGGGAATTTATAATCAGTCGTGGAATCACTGAATGGTTTGGGTTGGAAGGGACCTTAAAGACCATCTCATTCCACCCCCTGCCATGGGCAGGGACACCTTCCACTAGCCCAGGTTGCTCCCACCCCTGTCCAACCTGGCCTTGGACGCTTCCAGGGATCCAGGGGCAGCCACAGCTTCTCTGCCCAACCTGGGCCAGGGCCTCACCGCCCTCTGAGTAAAGAATTTCTTCTTAACCTCTAATCTAAATCTCTCCTCTTAGTTTAAAATCATTCCCCTTTGTCCCATCACTATCTGCCTGTGTAAAAAAGTCACTCTCCCTCTTTTTTATGAGCCCCTTTAGGCCCTGCAAGGGGCTCTCAGCTCTCCCTGCAGCCTTCTCTTCTCCAGGGGAACCCCCCCAGCTCTCCCAGCCTGGCTCCAGAGCAGAGGGGCTCCAGCCCTGGCAGCAGCTCCGGGGCCTCCTCTGGACTCTCTCCAGCAGCTCCACGTCCTTGTGCTGTTGTTCCCAGGGCTGGAGCAGCTCTGCAGGGGGGTCTCAGCTGAGACGGGGGCAGAGGGGCACAATCCCCCCCTGCCCTGCTGCCCACGCTGGGGGATCAACCTGGGATGTGGGATCAGCCCAGGATGTTGTTATCAAGGAGCAGAAATCGAGTAACCCGACAAAACAAAGCGCAAGGTGATTATCGCCCGTCTGCTCCTCCTCCCTGTTGTGTGAGCACCACTCCGAGCCCCGCTGGCCCCAGGGGTCACCCTGAGCCTGATGTTCAGCTGATTCCCCACCCTCACCTTCAATTCCGGGGATAAAATTTTCCATTCTGTAAGAAAAGCTCCATTCTTTGTCGCCGGACACGTGGGATTTGGTCACCTTCGCATGAATATTCATGGCTTGCATCTGCCTTCGGGAGCAGCCTGGGATTTGTCCTTGTTATTTGCTGCCACACAAACTTTGTACCATTTGAAAGCCCGTCAGCAAGAAGTTTATTTATTCTTACCAGTCACTGACACAAACAAGCTGAATATGTATTGTTCTGATTTATTAATCAAATCATCATGCAGGACCAACACAAATGCATCAAAGATGCCTGTTCCCAGCTCATAATCTCCTTGAAAAATGACAGAGTTTGCCTGACAGATCCTATTTTCCTTAAGCCCATCTGGCTGACGTTAACTCTTTTATGTTCCCTTAATTTCCTACTAATGAAGTTCCATGTAATTGGGTTTAGTGGGATTGACAACAGCCTGAGTTTTTAAAGAATGCTTTAAAAACTCTCCCTTTTAGTCACTGACCTCTCAGTGTTTTCCAGTCTGCCAGAACTTCCTCAGTGTTCCAAAACACCTTAAAAAAAATCAATGTAACAGGTCAGGAAGCTGGAGGAGCCTTTCC